TAAGTACGCACACACACACACACACACACACACACACACACACACACACACACACACACACACACACCCAACCTCCATGTGTGTTCTGTATTCCCCCACCTCTTAATCAATGTATGCAAAAACGAAAATTGTGTAGGCATTGTTTGTGATTTGTAACCATGTCAATGGATGATGGTTTTTTCAGGCCTGGTAGAAAAGTACCGATGTCCAAGTCTACCCCTGGAGCAGCCAAATCACAAGGTGAGGCCCACCCTAGACTGGTGGTCACTTGATAAGTTTCACCTATAGAGCTGTGTTCATACGTGAGTAGGTACTATAAAACTGATCTAAATAATTATTATTACCTTAGACTGATCATCGCATGATAAGTTTCACCTTTTGTATGTTTTGTGTTTCTGTCGCTGTGTTGTATGCCTCTGTCATTGTGTTGTGTATCATTTTCACTGTGTTGTGTTTTTCCAGTTTCTAAGCGACCAACTTACAGTAAAGAAGCAGAGGAGAAATTCGAAGCTGTCTTGGAGGGGAAACTGGATGACCTTCCCGCTATACCAAGGTCAACTGTGAGAATATTCCTGAGCTCAACTTTTTCAGGTGAATGTCCACAATCAGTGTTGTCAATGACAGACATCTTTTGGTAGTGACAGGGTAATTGTTAATGTCATAGTCATTGTTAACTGACAATGAACATGTTAAAAAATAATAATATATTTGTCTGTTGTCAATGAGAAGTATGGTTTTATGTCTCGCTTTGATAAGATATTGAGTTAAGAATGTCTGTTGTCTGGTGCGAGGCTATATTAACACGTTGTTCTATACTTGTGACACACTAGATGTTCTGCAATTGTGTTGTCAAATGTGTAGACATACCGAGTGAGTGTGGCTTTGGATGAATACCTGTTTTGTCCCGTCTTCAGATATCTGGTTGTGTTGAAGCTGGGGTGTCACCATGTATGTAGTTGTGTTGAGCCATTCTTGTGTCAGGTGTGTAGCTGTGTTGACGCGTCAATGGACCTGTAGTCATCCATACTTAGCCAGTGTGTCATCAGGTGTGTAGCTAGCTGTGTTGTGGTATGTTGCAGACATGCGAGCAGAGAGGAACGCCCTAGCCCGGAATGCGTACCCTGAACTGAGGGATTACTGCAGAGAGATGGGGCTTTCTTTTCAGGTACACACAATGACAATGACAATGGCCATCTTTATTCATCTCGCAGGGAGAAATTTGTCTCGGTCATTAACAATGGCAGTAGACGTTACAAAAGTTAGGTGCACTCACGCATGCGCACAACAAGACAGGACATTTGAAAATACATGTCTCACGTGCCGGAACAACCCGCTCTGTAAAACATTCTCTCTCTCTCTCTCTCTCTCTCTCTCTCTCTCTCTCTCTCTCTCTCTCTTTCTCTCTCCCTCTCTCTCTCTATCTCTCTCTCTCTGTGTTTCACTGGCAAACACATGGAGAAACAGACACATGGGTACACAGACTCACAGAGAGACATGCAATGAGAGACATGGACACAAAGAGACAAAGATGAATGTAAGCATGCTTTCATACTCTCTCTCAGACTCACACATTTACACACACGCATATGCAGGCACTCACACACAAACACACATGCACACACACAAATGCACCCACACTCATACATGTACTTACACACATACACTCACACACACATGGTCACCTCGCACTTACATGAATAGATTGCCCACAGATGCTGACAATGGCAAGCTTACATTTCGCGACCTCAGTGCTTTCTTGTTGTATCTCCATTTTTAGTAACAGTGAAAACAGTTCGTAACAAAGAGTGAGCTTAAGAAGAAGTCACATTTTCACTGTTTAAAAAAATGGAGATATGACATGAAAGCATTGAGGTCGCGATTTGAATTTATGTTTCAGAACTTGGTCCATCATGTCCCCATCTGGGATATGAACTAGGTTATACGTAAATATTCTTTACTTGTCTAGGAGCTAAGCCACTCATGTCCTCTACTTGTTCTAAGGATTTGTAGGTCTTACATGTCCTCTACAAATTATGTTAACAGCACTCTTTAATGCTTTCCCACTGATACTATTCATTTTTCTTTCTATAATAAAGTCTTTTCTCCTTCCTTTCCTATGTTTTGTTTATACAGTTGAACCTTCTCTAACAGCGACCTGTATAAGACAATCACTTGTACAAAAGGCCACTTCCCATTTCCTCCCTTTTTGTTTTTTTAAACGTTATAATGACAGTGTGTAAATCGTCCACCTATCTAAGATGGCACATTTCTCCTCAACAACGGGTATTTATTTTATTCCTTATTTTTTTCTCTTTTAGAATATTGCTATGTTTATTTAGGAGGCAGGCTTAAGCACTGTCAGTGCCAACCTGGATTGAGAGGGTTAAAAAAATCCTGGTAAAAAGACAGAGACATTCGATAAATATTCTCCCCACCCGGGAATCAAACTCAGGTTCTCTGCTTGCTATAGTGAAGTGCCTAACAGGTACACCACAGATGCTGGTTCTTTGTCTCTTTACCTTGAGTTGACAGAAGTCACCAAATCCTTGGGTACAGCTTTAACCCAACCATCTCTTTGACATTACTCCTCTAACCACCTCCTAGGTCGTTGACCTGCGATGGGGTGTGACTTCAGAGACCACCAACAGCCACTTGTCCACCAAGATTTGCCTCCTAGAACTGGAGAACTGCAAGAAAGTCTCGCTTGGACCTAACTGTATTGTGAGTAACATCCACCACTGTATTATGAGTAGTCTATCCACTGCTATATTGTAAGCAGTTTGTCTTGTACTGTATTTTGAAAAAAAGTTTATTATCCACTCCTGAGCTGTGATCAGTTTATCCTCTACTGTTTGTTAGCATTATCCACTACTGTATTGGGAGTAGTTTACCCCATGTACAGCCATTTCAATAGTTTTTCTGCTACTATATTGTGAGCAGCTTTTATCAACAACTGTTTTGTAAGTCTTGTTTGTAGCTTGTCTTCCACCCCTGTATTGTGAATAGTAAGTCCACTATTGTATGGTGGGTATTCTGTCCACTACTGCATTGTGAGTCCACTACTGTGTTATGAGTAGTCTGTCCTCTATACTGTATTATAAGTATGTTGTCAACCACTGTGTCATAAATGTTTTTCTTTCTATTGTGTTGTAAGTATTATTTGTGAGGCATTGTGGTGAAATCAGGCACCTGTCAAAATAGGAAATCGAAGAAATCAACATTCCC